CCGAAGGGACGACCAGCTCCTCAAACACCTCAAGCTCTGGGTCTGTAGTGGGGAGCCCCTAGTGCCCAGCTTGGTGAAACACTTCTTCAACCACTTCGAAGGCACCGAACACGTCATCTGCAACTTCTACGGAAGCACCGAGGTAATTCAACAAATTTCAACAATTTGTATTGTTTCCGACTGAAAATGACTCTGTTTTGAGTCGAAACGTCTCGGGTTTCATTAATTGTGTATTTTTAGCCTTGTTTCCCGTTTTTTCATCCTTGTTTTTCTACTCTTATCATTGTCTTGGGCTGCTCTAAAAATTTGTATCTACGGTAATTCAACAATATACATTAGATACAATATAGATTCAACAACACATGAGATTCGTGCGACATAAGCGCCGCCTTCGGGGATAATTAAAAATTTTAAAACAATTGTTAATTGAATCAATTATTTAGTTTAACGAAACACTATTTTTTCAATAAAGAGATAAATAACAATTTAATAATCAATTTATTTAATTTTTTTTTTTAATTTTTATATTTATTATTTAATTTTTGGTGATGAATCATTTTTGGTAAAGAAAAAAGAAAAAAAAAAAACTTTCTTCGGTTAATTTTTCTGATCACATTCCACGTATCTTTAACAGTAATTCAAGACCAAGTTTTTTATAGAAAACCACTTGATTAATATCAAATAAGTCATGCAACGTTTTGGGTCGCACGGAATGGTGCAATCTTTCTATGTGTTCAAATCTTTAAACAGATTTTTCTTAAAATATTTTACTTTATAGAAGTATACTTTGCTCAAGATTTACTGGATGGATTATCATTTCGACAATTGTGCACTGTTGAAATGTTTGATTTTTGCTTTTTCCTAACATTGCTCTTCACTACAGACGAGAGAATTTTCCCGTATCATCCTTAAACAAAAATTTTAAAAAAAATGTAAATAATGAAATGACGGCCTCATTTGCTATTTTTTAAAAGCTTATAAAAATTTCAAGTTTCAAAAATGTTGAGAATTCTTTTGTCTAAATCTATAAAAAAAGTCCAAGGAATCAAACAAAAAAAGGTTTCGAGCGCCGTCGTCGCCGCTGACGTCACTGGCACCTCATAATTCCCATTCATTCTTGCGGCCTGAGGACTAACGAGCACTCCCCTTCTTTCCCACCTGCGGGCCGATTATTGAAATTGATAGACAATGCTATAGACAAAGAAGACATAGGGGGTATAAAGCAATCCGATTGGTTGAAATGGGTGGTTCTCATAGACTAAGGGGGAAAATGATAGACTAACTGTCGGGTCTCTCGTGGGTTGCCGTTAGTTAGTCTATTAGCTACCTCCTTTGTCCATTGCAACCACCCGATTCTACCAATAGGATCCCCCCAAATTCTTTTTGTCTTCTTTGTCTATTGCTTTGTCTATCTTTTTCAATAATCAGCCCGCAGTTCTTGGTTTCGTTTAGGAGAAATACGCACAGTTGTGGTTCAAGTGTGCGATTTCGTGTATTTTTGGACGACAAATTTTAACAAACAATTTTTTTTTTTCTTAGGTCATGGGTGACGTGACCTACGAGAAGATGAGCGCCTTCAAGGGGGATTTAGTTCCTATCGGTCTGCCGGTGGATAACAGCGTGGTCTACCTGCTGGACAAGAAACTCAACCCGGTGCCCTCCGGACAGATCGGCGAGATCTACTGCTCCGGACTCAATCTAGCGTCAGGCTACGTCAACAACCGTGACGCGGACCGCTTCATCGCCAATCCTCACACGGTAGAGCCTCAGTACGCTCTTCTCTACAAGACCGGTGACTACGGCAAGATCGTTGACGGCACCTTGGTCTACGAGGGCCGAACAGATAGTCAGGTAAGAGTCACAGGAAAAAATAGGCCCGATTTTCAAAATCAGCAAAGTAGTCAATCAAATCAAATAAAAAAACACCGAAAAAAATAGTACTGCTCACAGGGCTCCTGCATTTCTTTTGTAACTGTCACAGGAGCTTCCGTTATGATGACAGAGACTTTCTTCTCACGACCGAAGTTCTGTTCTCACGAGAGAAAAATTCTGTAAGTGTAACAAAGAAACTGCAGGAGCCCTGAGAACAGAGGGTTCTGTCATCAGCACCATCTATTTTTTTCTGTGAAGGAGGAGCGGGAATTTTGAAACGTCGCAATGCGTATCTATGGTTTTGCACCTTGCTATCGAGTTAAGTTCCTCATCAGCGTCAAAAATTAGAATCTGGAATGCTTTTAAGATTTTTAGGTAAATATTCATTCAAGCAAAAAGTCCAACATTCTAAACCTCTGCAAAAGTCTCAATCTCAAAGAAGGTGGTTGATCGGGACCCTCTTAAAAGGAGAGTACGAAGGAGGCACCTAGTGAAAGGACGGCAACAACAGGGAGTTTCGACTTAAACGAGGAAGTATCAACTACCTGAAAGACTATAGTAGGATAGGGGAATGTGGCGGTTAAGTGCCACAGAGCGCCAGGGAGCGCTTTGGAAAGGCTCCTATGTATGCACAAGTCTCAATCTAAATTGTTAGAATATTTAATACTCAGCTTCCGTCATCCTGTCAACATGCATACACCAAACAAGATGATGTAAGAAAGGCTACCAAAAAATATCCTTGATTGGGTTCAGGGCCAGATTAAGGAGGTATCCACATGTGCCGCGGTCCATGGCGGCAAATCTAAGGGGCGGCACATTTTGCAATTTTTTTAATTATAGGTATAAAAAAAATTCGGATCAAGAAAAAACATTACAAACGAGAAAAGGCGACAAAATCTCTCATCTCCTGAGAGTATAGTAATTTCTAATTTTGTCGTCTCTTAGTGATACAAGAGATAGCACCTTTAATTAGTCGAGTTTAGAGAGAAATCAAACACGCAATTTGGCCTGGAACGGCGCAACGTATCTAAAGAGAAATAATGACGAGGACTTGAGATGAAAAGGAGAAGCCCTCGGCGCGGCGATCGGCATGTAACATATATTAACGCCTACAAGACTGCACGAATACTTCACGCATGGCATCAAACACAGTGCGGTTATTGCGGACAGCGTGAAACGGATAGCGCCTACAAGAATGCATGAATACTTCACGCATTGCGCCAAACACGGTGCGGTCTGCGAGGCGCGGCGGCGGAAGTTAAAATCATTAATTCACATTTATGTTTGTTCTTTCATAATTTTTTCGTTCATTTCTTATGAATGGAAGACCTTGTCCACACAGAGATAGGTTTACGAAACTTAACTTTCGCGCAAAGTTCCGTGAATTTTTGCTAGTAGTATTGACAGGGCTTTCCCAAAAACTGTGTTCAACACCAGTAATCGCGTCTTATGCACCCCTCTCTCGCTGGCACGTTCATTTGATGGTTTTCATTGATGTTTCAAAACGAATGAGAAGGGGGCGGCAAAATACTAGCGGCCCATGGGCAGCAAGTAGGTAAATCCGGCCCTGATTGGGTTCTTCCTGGTAGGAGACGAAAGAGACGTCCAGTGGAAGGGTGGCGACAGGGGGTTTTAGAGGGAATGAGGGAGTCCCAACTCTCTGAGAGACTCCGAGAGGATAGGGGACTTTGGCGGCTAGGTGTCGCAGAGCGTCATACAGCGCTGTGGAATCCAATTTCATGCATGCATATAATACTCAGCTTTTTGTCTAATTTTTGAAATTTGATTCCTCTTTTTCCAGGTCAAGGTCCGGGGTCATCGGGTCGACATGAGCGAGATCGAGAACT